CAAGCAGTGGTGCTACCTTGAGGGCTAAATGCAGTAAAAATCACTGAGGACCAGATTTTTTCCTTTTTACCCCTGCTGATAGCAATTCACCTGATAAATAGTTCAGAGGCTTTAAACATGAGCAAAGTGATGCACTGTGCATATAACAACTGATCCAGCCACAACAGACCATAATTCAGAGAACGATCCCTGGTAAGAACCTATATTACTAGAAATAATTTCCTCTTCCCTCCCCCCTCCTTTTTTTTTTAACTCTTATCTGTTTCCGCAAAAGAAAACCCCACTTGATGCTTTGGCTCTTAACTGTAACTTAACTTTGGGAAACTGAGTACTTCATGAGGACAGCAAGCCATTGTCACTTTTATCACATCTACCAAAAAAAAAAAGGGTTGGCTAAAATGCAGAGTCCTGACCTCATCACTGATCTGCAGCAAGTTAACAGCAAGTTAATGTATTCTTGTCTGACATTGGTCCTGATATTCCTGATTCTGGAATTTGACCTATATTTAACATGGGTCTGTCTCCAATAAAATATCAGTAAATACTCAGCTTTGTCTCCATATATGCAACGGGTTGAGGAATGAGGTTCCAGGCTTCCTCCTAGCAGAGGGCACCCAGAACACTGTTCCTGCAAATGTTTGTTTCTACAAATGCTTCTGTAGATGGCATTTTTACTTCTTTGCAGCTTTCCTCATTAAAGGCTTTGTAAATGGCTTCTTCCAAAATAATCTGTATGGTAGGGGGCTTTGGTGGCTCTCTCCCTACAGTGCTTTCCAAACCTCTCCGTAAATGTGATTGTGGCCGTGTAATCTGTGTACCTGGAAATATAATTCGTTTTGTTGCTAATGAAGGTCCTACGGCACAAATTTATTAAAGGTATACTTTTCCATGGGATAATAATTGGGTCGATAATATTAAACTCATAGGCTCATTATTTAATTGCAAGGGCAGATTATGAATACAGCTTCTAAAATGTATTTTAATGAAAAACACTACATCCTGACCTAATCATATCAACCTTATGCTATCTAATTAAGGATGCAAAAAATCATTAGAGTTGCAAAATATTAGTTCCAGCTCGATCAGGCTGCTAGCTGCCCCTTCATGAATATATATATTTTTTTACTCTATGATAAATAGTTAATGAGGTAAAAATGACAAAATTTGCATGTAGGCAAATTAGTTTAATAGAGTGATGTCTTCCTGGTCTACAGAAAGTGACCTTTTTCCTATCAAAAGAATGACTAGAAATACTTTGAAATGACGGCATGGATGTCATTCCACAAATGACAAATCACTTCTCTGAACAATATAAAAATTATAAAATGCAATAACCTTAAATTCTCATCATACTGTAAATGTGTCCTCTGCTGCTGCATTTATCAATTTAATAAAAGGAAATTAAGCATATTATAAAATACCCATTTATGGGGCAATTTTTATTCCAGGGAATAAAAATGAGAAGCACATGGTTAATAGCAAGAAAATATTGCAAAAACGTAGACCTATTTTTTCCAGAAGGTTTGACTGACTATTTACTTGAATGACCTCCATTTAAAATATATTTTTTATATGGAGTGATGTAAGATATGGCAGTCTCATGCTTCCCTTTATAAAAATTGCTCACAGTTAATTTGGTATCTTATTTAAAAATTAACACATTAATAATGCACGCAATAAGGCCTAGTGATGTGTCTTCCATACTGATTACTTTGTACAATTAGACATACAAAAAGAAAGGGACAAGATAAATACCTTATGCAAATTCATTGCAGAAAAAAGGGTCTTTCAGTATCTGCAATGCCTAGGAGCATAGAAGACCTGAAAACATTGTTCCTGGCCTTGCAGGGAGGTGCTCCATGTGGAAAACATATTTCTGGAATGGAGCAAGTTTTTATTACAAAACTAGATTTGCCAAAGAGGTAACGAAACTTAGTTTGATGGTTCTCTTTTCCATCAAAATCATATAAACAAGAAACTGGAGTAGAAGGGGAAGATTTCAGGTTTCTGAAGAACACTGGTGGTATTTTCACAGCATTCACATTTCGTTCAGATAGCTTGGGATTTTTGGGCAGTAGTCTCCACTCACAACTTTTCCTCATTGTGAGGCAGATCCTGTGCCCAGTGAAGTAAATGACAGAGATCCGACTGGTGGCAGGGATGCAAATACCTGCATGCTTTCTACATTACTCCTGTCTCGTTGTACCGTATAGTCTTCACCAGTATGTTCCACAGAAAACAGGAACGTTTAACACTGTCACAGCCTGGCATTTGGTTAGGTCTGATATAAAGGAGAAGACATTAAATTTGTGCAGATATAGGCAGAATAGGAATCAGAAACTTGGGGATTTAGGGTAAAGGGAAAAGTGTGCATCACTCCACTTTGTCGAATGAAGCGCGCAGTGCTCCCTTGGCAGAATAAGGGGAGTCCTCCCTCTGCTCTGACTGCGCCCTCCCTCCTCCTGGTTCTGGCTGAGGCTGGGTGCATTTTAAAGGATCTCAGGGTAAAATCAGGTACTCGCATTTCAATACAGCATTTCATACATGCCAAGCTGCATATTGGGAGCAAAACTAGGCATTTCCATATGTCTATAGCTATGGTCATGTTTTTCAATGTTCTGTCCTCTTAATTATGTCTTATTATAGCAGTGGATATGCCCTTTTACCCCGCTCTAGTGAGACCCCGCCTGGAGTACTGCATCCAGCTCTGAAGTCCTCAGCACAGAAAAGACATGGACCTGTTGGAGCGGGTCCAAAGGAGGGCTACAAAAATGATCAGAGGAGTGGAATACCTTGCCTATGAGGACAGGCTGAGTTGGGGTTGTTCAGTCTGGAGAAGAGAAGGCTCTGGGGAGACCTCATTGCAGCCTTTCAGTACCTAAAGGAGGTTTACAAGAAAGATGGGGACAAACTTTTTGGCTGGCCTTGTTGCAACAGGACCAGGGGTAATTGTTTTAAACTAAAAGAGGGTAGATTTAGACTAGCTATGAGGAAGAAAATTTTTACCAAGGGGGTGGTGAAACACTGGCCCAGGTTGCCCAGAGAGGTGGTAAATTCCCCATCCCTGGAAACATTCAAGGTCAGGCTGGACGGGGCTCTGAGCAACCCGATCTAGTTGAAGGTGTCCCTGGTTATTGCAGGGGCGTTGGACTAGATAACCTTTAAAGGTCTCTTCCAACCCAAATTATTCTATGATTCTGTGACAATCCAGATTTCTTCCATTCAGGGGCAGATTATTTGTATACAGAGCAGTAATTTTTCTTTCCATTCTTTTCTGTTTGCCTTTACCCCCCAAGTATCTCCTTCTCCCGCCCCCACCCCGGCCGCCCCCTTCCTCCACCCATCCCTTCCCCACATGCAGCCCTTTCTGTACTGCTGTAAGAAATGATATGCTGGTAATATCATTAGAAATATATTCAGCACTTGAAACAGAAAAGGAGTTGTTTGCAGTTGCCTTATCCATCACTTTTTCCATATGGCATTGGTAGTCCTGGCATGTAATATGAGGTCCAGTATGTATGTTCTTTGTTTGACCTTACTTAACATGTAACAAAGGTAATAGAAACCAGTCATCAGCGGCTATGCCATGACTTACTGTAGAAAGCTTTTAAGTGGAAAAAAGGGGTGATTTTGCTTGTTGGGGTAAAGCAAATAAGTGCTATCTGTATAAAAAGTGGGAATATCTGAGGCAGGTGGCTGTGGTAGCACATTCACTCGTTCATACTTTTTCCCTCCCCTCTGTTGAAACACAGTGTGGTGCTCTGTGCTTTTCCACAGAAATTAAGCTTACTGAGTATCTGCTTTTTCATTCAGTTGGCACATTCACCTTTTTATTTTTCCTTTCAGGGTCCTAACTGTCATCATGAAAAAAAGTGGAAAATAATTACAGCTGTGCCAGATGTTTATAGCAGTGACAACTGAGGCTATATATTTATATAAACTCCTGATCTTTCAAAGGTACCTATAGAGCCTTGAAAAACCTGCAGACCCTCATCTGAAATTGCTTGTTCCAGTGTGTTAGAAAAGCAAACAAAACAAACAACTCATACATACTTAAGAGGATAACTTCCTTCCTATCTAGAATCTGTTCATTTTTACATTGAAGCAGGAGAGTTACTAAAGGAAGCATTGTACACAGAGGCACTCATAGATATATAAATCCAGTTGATGAGCACTTTAACAATTGTCCAAGACCTGTTTTATAAGACAGTCCTGTGGGAATTAATAATGCTAATGCAAAGCTAGAAAGCAAGAAAGAAAATGTCGCTCATTGAATGAAGACAATGACCCTTGCAGACTACTGACCATGTTACTTCTCTTATTTTCAATTCTCTGAAAGCAATTATGACCAGAAGCCTCATTTCTGGGTGGCATCCCCAACAATGGACACTTTGCACACACAGATATATTTCCTGCGCATCACAGCTTTTAAGGCTGTATATGGGACTAGAAGCTAGTGGCTTAATGGAAAAGAAAGAGGAATTATTTTACAGCCGAAGTACAGCAGACCAACTTCAGAACTCTCCTATCTCCCCTGCACATTTCCAATTTAGCCCACTCCTCTGGGAGATCCTGGAAGGAAGGGGCCAGGAAGGAGAGCAGGGCTATCACATCTGAATCATCAAACTCACACCCCTTTCTCAGGGCAGCCCCATCCATGCCCTTGCAGGGAGCAAATTTGACTTGTCCATAGGGCTGCCAAGTTTGCTGAGCTGGCTGAGAAATTATCTGGGATGGTAGTGACATTTAAACAAGTAGCAAGTCTCTATGACCTGGTCAAGAAACACCAGATGGCATAGATAATTTTTGACATCAGTGATGCCGCTAAGCCTTTAGATACTAAGCAGATTGTAACCCCTCAAGATGTTCAAGCAATGCACATACAACCTTCTTATGAAATTCTCCTGAAGAAGCTTCTTAGCTTTCCTGTTCAAAGAATCACTCTAAGAATAATTTTCTTGTGTACCTAGGTCTTTTTAGGTAATACCCAGAGTCACAGGCTACTTTAGGAGATTCTGTTCACCACTCACCATCCGTCTTTCACCATTGTTTCCTCTCCACTGTTCAGCCCTCTTCATAATATAGCTCAGCTCCTGATTGGAAATCTCCAAGTCCAGTGGAACGAAGTATGTGCCTTCCTCACCATGAATGCGTCGAAATACATCTAACAGCCAACCTTCGCTATGTAGCCTGAGGATAGAAATGACAGATTTGGTTCTTCTTTGAAATGACTTTTCATGCAAGAAAGAAAAAGGTCTTGCCCTTTTGTAGGTTTCTAAAGCTTGGGCTTCCCTTCATGACTGTATTCTCTACCCATGAGTAAGAAGCTTCTTTCGCATGAGTTCTTCAGCGTACAACCATCACCAACCCTCTAGAGACTTTACAACACCTGAATCAAATCACATAAACTTAAGCAGCAATTTCTTTTAATTATTTCAACATATTGACTTCCGAAAAAGATTCTGATCTTCCTTTCCTTCAGAAATGTCCAATGTCTGTCCTTAGCATTGGAATGGGCAACTATTTCCAGTCCTTATGTGGAACACCTCAGTGAGGCATGAAAATGGAAGTCCTGCTGCGCCAGGGTTAAATAATGTGCAAACCACATTGTATAGGAAGGAACTACTCACCATTTTTTTCAACCCCAAGCCTGAAGTCTATACAATCTAAACTTCTCTTGATGTTAGAAAAGTTAATTTTGTTTGTTGGCTTTGTTTTTCTATGACATTTCTGTGCTGTGGTAGGGAATTGAATAATCACTACGCAGTAAAATTCTCTACCACAAGAAAGGCTTGCTGTGTGGTATTTCTTAATGTAGGTGAAACCAAGAAATATTGTGAGGCTTTTGGAAAGCCTAGTGTCACATTTTTAGCCTTAGATGAACTTTAAAACTTCAAAACATTGCTGTTTAATTGAAATGGAACCTCTTCAAGTTCATCTCTTTCTCATTCGACTTTTATTCCAAAACCAGGGGTTCAGAAAAAAAGATCAGAAAATCTGGAATCTCAGTCTTGGATATTGAACTGAGGTCTTCCCTTTTGTACCCTCTTCCAAGCTAACACTTTATTACAATTTGGCCCGTGCTTGGTGCCAATCATAGCTTTTCTGTATTTCCCAGAGACTGGCTGGGTAGTCACGAGAAGTGCAGGGATTGCTCTGTGGCACTGCAACCAACAAAAAGCCTAGATTTCTGTGGGGCTGTACAGGTCCTTCATTTCTTGGCAGGTGGGAGAGAGCACAGGCACAACTGCTTTGACCCTCTGAACTCTCATCCTTCTCACGTATAGCAGCAGCAGACACGGTTCTTGTGGCGTATTCTCCTCTTGTGTCTTGAATTGGCATGTTGTGCTAACCAATGTGTGCGCAGGTGGAGAGTGGTGGACTGTTCAAGTAAATCAGAATGAAGATCACATTTACTCCAGTTCTACATCTCATCTTACAGTGCACACAGTAATTGTAGGGAAGCACACTTAATAAGCTGCTTTGTACTATTTTGCCTACAACTGAGATTTAATGTGGAACAGAAAGGAGATGCACCAAGTTTTTCAACTTGATCTCAGGAGGACCTTTAGCTCCCTCTTCAAAAGGGAATACGTACCTTAGGGTCAAGCTCTATATGCAAGAGTGTCTGTGATGGAGTAGCTGTTCTGATACTGAAATCTGGCAGCCTGGCTCAACATCAGATTAGGAATTTGTATCTCCTGCTTTGCTGCGAAGGTGCTCTCTGTACTTTTTTCCCCACCCTTCATTTTTGAAACATTTGTTTTTGAAGCTGCAGCCCTAAATTTGCTGTAGTTTCCAAGATTTCATCTTGGGATTGTCTTATCAAGAGAGAAGAGCAGCTGGATGAAATGTAGGTAGTCCCGGGAATAAAAACAAACTGACTACCAAGAAATAATAGAAAAAGCTCTAAAGGATACTAAATTATCTTAAAACGTGCTACAGAAGAGAAATATTTTTTTTTAAATATAACTAATACCCTTCATGAAGTAATTTTTCAAATTCCATAGCGTCTTCAAAGTACAGCTTGTCTGTCAGTCCCTGGATCTATATTAGATGTTCTTTCAACACAATAGAAACATTTTCGCAAACATTGACTCATAACTTAGAATTATCTTGTGCTTAGTTGAAAAACTAGCAATCAAGCTAGTGGTCTTTCTGGCCTTCCACTCATCTTGAAACAATAATACTCTATCATGTTAGTCTTTGATATTCCAGGTCAGCAATTTAAATGACTTGCCACTTATCTTGCTAAACAAGAAAAAGACCTTGCTATTTATTTAAGCTCGCTTAATGTAACATTCTTATTTCAAATGAAGTAAAATTTAATGCAGTTAAATTACTGTCTATTTGCTGCCATAAACATTTTCTATATGAAGATTTTAAGCACATGGTTATAAACAATATAATTAACTTTGAATTAATTAAGAATCCTGAAGCCTGTCTTCCAGCTTTGTTCCTTTTGCCCAAAAGTACTCAGCCTGTTCCTGTTACCTGCTTTAATTTCTTTTCTTTGGCACGAAAACTAATAAAACACTTCTTTTTGTGTCTTAACATGGCTTCTCATAAATAGGACAGTAATAATTTCTATTGCTAATGCAATAAAGAGCAGAATAAAACTCAGATGCTATTTTCTAGAGATATGAGACCCAGTATAATACCTTACAAGTTCATTTGTTTATCAGAAAGAACAGAAAACACTGAAATGATTTGCTATCTAGAGTTAGATCAAAAAATGGACTTCTCAAAAATTTAGACAAATCAAAAAAGGTAGACTGGTTTAAAGCAATGTATTACATCTTTGCTTGAGCCTTTCTCATCCTTTTTTGGAAAACAACTGTAAAAAACATAAAAATAATTTTGCTGTTAACATTGAAAACTGTAGATTTTTGAAGCTTTACCCCTAAAAATATTTCAATAGCAGGAAATTTAGATTCTTTCCAGCAAACGCTTTTTAGTTGAAACGGATCTGCATTTTCTCACAGCACAGAAAACCTTTCACCAGCAAGTTTCTGACTGTTTCTAATGTCTAATGGAATTAAAATGAAGGAATTGTAACCAGTGCCACTTCATTTTTCCAAAAAGTAATTAGAATATCTCTCCATGCTAGATGTACTACAGACTCCCAAGACACCCAAGGGGAGCCAGATTTATTGAGGTATGTTGGTTTATAAAGACACAAATAGATGCCTACTGCTGTTTACCCCCTGCCCATGACTTCGTTAGATTCCTGGTTGTTCATCAGTGTTGCCATGAAGCTTTATAGCTGGCAGAAATAGACACTTCCCCTCCTTGCTTTGGTGGTCTGGTGGGTTCACTGTTCTTACCCCTTTTTTATACTCTGCTGAACACTTCTCTCCAATGACAAGTTGCTGAGTAATTCTAACCAAAAGCACCAACTCCACCATCCAACAACCAAAGTCTTGCCTGTGGACTGGTGTCTTAAGACACAGAAGACATTCCTCAATATTTATATTGGTTTACCTTACAAGAGAAAGATGTGCTGGATGCCTGTGTAAAAAATATATGTTTTCTGAGTCAAGTAACATTACATTTGAATATCTTTGAAATATAACACCAGGGAAATATTCACACAAAGGGATACTACTGCTTTGGTTATAACACTATTTTCTCTTGAAGACAAATGCTGTTATATCAATATTCAGGAAACAACGTTATGAATTGCAAGGATCCTTTCCTTAAAAACATTTTTAAAGGTTTTAATGCTATCATTAGTGGACTGACAGTGTGCTGCTCAAGAGTCCTAGCCAGGCCCCAAGGTTCCCACTGTGTTGGGCTGTGGACATACAAGCAAGAGAAAGTTGATCCAATTTCAGAAGCTTATAGTATACCTTCACTCTGCACAGACTCCAGTATTCAAAATGTTTCTTTTTGTTATCAAGCAAAGAACTTCAAAGTCCTTATGCACTGTAACAGATTTTGTTATCTTTCCTTTGCTTTTGTATTTTGCTATGAATCATTTTTAAAATGTGTTGTACTGAGACAACTTTTTTCCCCCAGTAACATTCTCCCCCCACCCCTTTATTGGAAAACATTATGGGAAAATTGATCCAGAAGGAAAGGAACCTTTGATGATCTTGCACCTGTTCCCCAGACAATGAAGATGTTGGTAATATTCTCATAAAAACCTGCCTTACAAATGTTTTAATTTAAATTAATTTTCCTGAGTAATAAACGACAGCAGCTAAAACTTATGAAGCTATTCACAACTATTAAGTCAATGATTAAGAAGGCATTAACATCTCAAAAACTAATTAACTAGACTACCAGTACATTGGAGTTGTGTACAGCTTCCAGGAATGCAGGAGTTTTGAAACACTTTGCAGAAATTTAGATTGCCATTTATCTTTTTCTGCCTGCTGCAATGAAGTTTGTGGAAAGGAGACCGAGGGCTGATTCTGTCAGATGGAAAGCGTATGCTGAGATTTTCTGTTCTTACACCTGCCTGCATCTTGCCTTTGCGTACGGCTTTTTATTGGTACTTGCCACCACTCAATGTTCATCACTGGGTCAGGTAAGGGCCAGTATAAAATTCATACTGCATTATAGATGAGTCACTGAGAAAAAAAGAAAATACCCTTTTTCATTCAATATATTAGACAACTTATCTCATTAATTTTCAGTGTCCCATACCTGGCCTTATTAACTGTATAGCTAATGGTGCCTGCTAGAAAGGTGGCAAGAAAGGGGTTTGTTAAATTTCATGATGAACTGAATATTGATAATGGGCTAAGGTCATGGAAAATTATTTTAATTAAGTCATGTCATGCAGTAGGTTAAAGTCTCAGTCACATCAAGTCAAAAATTCTGTGTCGTCAAGGCTGTAAGACTGTAAGGCCACTGCAGATTCAGAGAGAGATTTTACACTTCGCACCAAATGCAGCTTTCTGAATTTTTCCTATTTCTCACAAAAACACTGCTTGGAAGACTAAAGACAACATCTTCAAAAGTACCTAAATAAAAGGTACACACACTTAAGAGCTTCAACCCTTGACACAGACACCATAGTCTGAAGCAAAAGGAACAGAGACTCCTAGACTGTACGAAAAATCATTAGATCAATTGTATTCCTGTTGAGGAAATAAGCGCTTCCCTCGCTGACTTTCTGTGCCCACCAAATACCAGTGTATTAAAAGATAAGCGGGAGCTAACCCCTCCCTTGATTGTCTGCAATTCTGGGCTGTGGACATGTGATATTGATATACCTTTTCTGATGTCACCTTATTTTATCTTACAGGAGAAGGGGTCTAAGCCCCTAAGGGAATAATGAGATAAAGAGACATACCTTAAAAAGTACAGGTACAACACTGTCGATGAGATGATGAACAGGATTATATAAAGGATCACAGTGATTAAGGCACCAGGAATCCCCGACTCCTCTGCTCTTTGAAAGACCCAGTAGAGCTTTGCAGCATCAGCAATGGGTTTCTCTACGCTGTTCTCAAGTCGCTGTCATGGGGGGGAAAAAATCAACATGAGAAAACGCCAAACCTGATTAGACTATTTACCTATAGAAACAAAAGAACCTGAATTTCTTTATAAAGAAGGATTTACCTGTAATTTGCAGGGCATACAGCTTGAAACTTAGGAGTCGTTCTACACAGAATTTTAAGTTAACCATCAGATGTGAAATGAACTATTTTCTGGCTTATTTTAGCACAATTAAAATCTGAAAACACTTGTGCCAGTGCATAATTCCAAACTGACCAGTCTCAAAATGACATGCCCTTGTCACAAGAAAAATACTGGTTCCTACCAGACTCAGCAAGTTACATTGTTTTGAACAAGTGCAATTTGGAGGGTGTATACACACAATTCCCAATTTCAGATTGAGCCAGTGTTTGTGCTACCACTGGAAAACAAAAGTAGCCCTCATGTTATCTGAAATGCTAAATGGAATTATCAGGGCATCCGCATGTGTTCCTAGCTGACACCTAGGATAGCTTTTCCACTAGGCTTGCAAACAACAGCATCAGTCAAAGAAGGTAGTGGGTTCACAAAGCTTCACTGAGACCCAATGAGGTGAGAAAAAAGGAGAAAGCAACTACAAGTAGATCAACAGGGAACACCAGCAGGGTTTTGTTAAGTTTTGCCCAAAGGGGATGACCTTTTTTCAGTGCAAAAGAGACAAGTTCACCCTTATGAAGCAGTATTTTAATTTATGTACATGCATTATCAAGCCTGTCTGCAACGTTTTAAGTCAGCAAAGCAGATATTCCCTTAACCCTGCAATCCTGGTGTCCAGTTTGGGAAGCCACAAAGAATGTTACAGCCTGTAACACTGAATAGCCAACAAGCATCAGCATTATTTTATGATATAGCTCTCATTTAACTTCTTTCTTTCCTGAGAAGAAATAGAAACACCATGAGACCAATACCTCTGAAGAGATCTGACTATACTGTACTCTCACTGCTGTGGTGGCATTAAAGAGACCTCTTAGCTGTACGAAGTAGCAATGGTAAGTTGTATCCTTAATAGCTTCTGCAAAGGTACATGACTGTCATATACCCTACTTAGTTATGCTATTAATAGTTTACCTTCAACTGCTCTGTAAACAAATAAACACGTATAACTATTTTCATTCTACTGAAGATGAAACAAATCATAGAATCATAGAATGGTTTAGGTTGGAAGGGACCTTGAAGACCATCAAGTTCCAACCCCCCTGCCATAGGCAGGGACACCTCCCACTAGACCAGGTTGCCCAAGGCCACGTCCAGCCTGGCCTTGAACACCTATCTTTAGCACACTATCTTTAGCATACTAAATATTGGTAAGGAATTAATATTCATAAAACAAAAAGAGTAATTTGATTGGGAATAAGGTGGTTTGTGTAATTTTGCAAAGATTCACAAAGAATCCTGAAGGATTCATAGCACTCTATGTGTCATTATACTTCCAGTAAAACATGGGAAAGTATTTTCCAAAAATCTATTATTTTCCTTTTTTTTCCACATCTAGTTCTTAAGAACTAGCTACTGTATTGACATATTATTGCCCTCTGCTGGATCGATTTAGAAGAATTCAGCTACATATCATGGGTCTTCTGCTGCTCAGAACTAAAATAAATTCCTCTCTTCACTTTTTAAAGTGACACAATGACAGCCATAGCCATATTAAATCACGTTAACTCATTTTGCAAGGATGTGAAACTGCAACCCCCAAAAATCCAGTATATATTATTCAGAGATGGAGCCTGTAACCTTTAGGCTTCAAGAAACCTGCACTTTCCTGAGCAACTTGCCTGGACTGATCCTTAGGAAGAGTCAAAACTTTCTCCCCATTTTTTTCTACCTCTGCAGCGACATGCATAAGAAAGTAAAGACAATTACAAGTCCAATGATGAGCTGTACAAGGACTGAGATTCTTGAGTATATTTCTGTGCTCTCTCCACCCTTTGCAACACTGCCAGGTTTCTGTAATGGAAATTAAAAGTCCCAGGAGAATGGCAATGGCATATAAAAACTAGTCACTAATTCAGATCTGTCTGCATTCTTTACAAAAAAGTTAAAATACGTTATCTCCTGGTTTTGGGTTTTTTTTCATCTCCCTGTTCTATCTTCTCTTCTCGAAAAAAAAAAAAAAAAACCCAAAAAAAAACCTGTCTGTCTCCACCACTTTCTTAACTGAAGAGACTACCAAGGAAAATCCTCTGCACAGCAGTCACGTCCTGAGATCCCTCCAGAGAGGCAAAAGTCTGAATGGCAAGTAAGAATAAATTTCTCTCTTACCCGAGCAGTTCTTTCTATCAAGGCAAAAATGATGTGGCGGAAGTGTGTATTTCTACCCATTTTTTCTAATAAAGAGATTGTGTGACTCCTTCTGTGGCCTCAAAGACATGATCCCAAAAAGATGTCTTCATTTTAAATTGTTTCAATAATACCTGTCAATATCTGTCTTAGGTACTTATCACACCACAAAGTGATGGCCATGTGAGCACTTCGCAATCTCTAATGTTTCTTATGATGACACGTATCCATGTGGCTAAAGAGGTGTTATTCTCTGCATTTTACAAGCTACAGATAGACCAGGTGACTGGTCCCAGGAAAGCTCTGGCAGAACTGAACTAGAACTGCATTCTCCAAAATCATAGGGAAGTTTCTTACCCCCGGAACATCCTTCTACAAGCTGACAGTGAATCAAACCTGGAATCACACATTTGATAGAGTATCTTCAACTATGAGTTGAAACCCCCCAAACATGCAACTGGTTTTCTAGTCTTCCCTTAATAATAAAAAAAAAATGAGTTAGCAAACAGAGAAACTTTTGTCTCCAGGGCTGTCATCTTTCATAAGTATTAAGGCCATTTAGGACACTAAAATACATTCTAGCACTAAAATAACTCATATTACCACAACACAACATTTTAAAAATGGTTGATTGAAAAGAGATTGGCAAGTAAATCTGAAATAGCTGCTGAAAGAATGTCAGGAGAAAAAAATTACAAATGCATTAATGAAAACACATGTAAGAGATGTAGTCTCATTTTGGAAAGGATACACACAGTATATTGCGTAATATTTGAACAAATGAGTTTCTACCAAAGATAAACTTGGTGGGTAAAATTGCCAAATTTTCAGTATGAAGTACAGAGAAAGGTTGCTTTTTTAATGTTGTAATGAAAAACTTTGTTACTTTATTTGTATCTCATGTTTCCCTTTGACCAGGCAAAGAAGCCCTATTTGAAATTGATAACAAATCCAGTCTGACTAGAACTGAACACAATTCCACAGAAGTCAATGGCAATGATTTTCTCAGTGCAAGTGTGGGAAAGACAACACAGACCTCACCTTTCCTTCAGTTTTTATGAATACACCTGTATTAGGAAGGGGGAAGCCTTTAAAATATTTAAATATTTCTAACCTGGATCTTGGGGAAATACCCCTTTTTCTCCTAGGAAAAAAAAAATCATCATCAGAATAATTACAGCTACAATTAAATTCTGTGCGTGGTTTACACCATGAATTAAAAATAATAATAAAAAAAAAAAACCAGCAGGCTGTCCAAGTGAAAACTACGGTGGTTGCCACATGCTTAAAATATTGCAATTACCTCCCAAGCAAGCTCCAATTAAATTTCTTGAACAGCTGAATTTTAATTTTCAAAACCACTACAATGGGAAACAGCACGTAAACAGTGGAAAATCACATTTTAAACAGGAATTCTTAAAAGCAGAGCACAGGTTAGTGAATGAGACCTGAGAACACCCAGTCCACAACAAGGACTGTGGATTACTGCTTGATCTGGAGCGGGCAACAGAAACAAAGGTACCTTTGAAAGGTAGACAAGGGCAAAAGGACAGCAATAGCACACCCCCAGAAAAGCTTGTAGCGCCCTGCGCCCATCAAAAGGACCCCGTGTCACCAATACAATGAGAGCCAAATCTGAAACACATGTTCTGGGAGACTGGGCATTACCTCAGATGTGATAAAAGTCCTTGGCCACCAAAGTACAGATGGGCTACACAGCGCATATGTAGGCACAGACAGAGTTTGGGGCTTTGCTCTCATAATTTTACACATGGTGAAGGTGTTTCTTTAAAGATGTCTGTCTTTCAATCTCACAAATCTTTTTAGGTGTGCCAGCAAGTTATATTAACTGTGTTGCATGTCAAAGAAGCGCACAATAACCTCTTCTTTTGATTTTGCTATTTTTTCAGTTTGTGTGTTTCAGCACTTAGAAAAATCTGAAGCTTAAATAATCAGGACTGCTCATTAACACATCTCCATTAACATCTAAAATTGCAGTAATCCTTTTCAAAGAAGATGCAATCATTCCAGTGGTGGATTTACTTTCTTATCTCCATATATGGCTTGTACAGTGCTCTTAATTTTATGCAGAAACACAGTGACTCCATTAGATGGGAATTTTGTTAATAAAAAGGTAATGTATAACATTATTATTTAATTTCTTTTTAACTTTCATGTTCCATTGCCAGGGGTGGAATTTCATATCTTTCAGTGATTCACTGAATAAAACAAACTTCTACGTCAAGGTCTCATGTCCAAGTTATTTTAAGTGACTTACCCCCAGGACTGAATCCACTATGAACACTGCCAAGGGGTCTAACACTGTCCAGAGTCCCAGAGCTATGATAAACTTTGACAAGAAGGAAGGGAATGAGTCAAACAGCTGCTGACAGCCCCATCTGATCAGGACCATAAGAAGCAGCCCTGCGTCCAAGGTTAGGGGTCCCACCACAACCATGACCAACTCTTCACTTCTCTGCAGCAACGAGTTCTGGTAGCACAGTTCGACAGTGTGAGGGAAAAGCTGGAATCTGTAAATAAGCAAAAGGAGAGAGTTTGTCTGTGTTTCTGGGCAAACCATCAAAAAAACATAGAAGAATGCATACTGCATGTTGCATTGTAAAGTTGCATCCCTATCTTGGTCACAATCCTCTGACCAAAAACTGTACAAAGCTACTAAAAAAACAAATTTTTTTCTCCTGCTTCTGCCTCCGTGTCCTTTGATCGCCTCTGACTCTCAGTTCAGTGGATACACAGCCAGACCCTCAGGACTGTGCAGGCAGGGCTGTAGGAAGGTGTAAGCTCCCAGAAGCACCAATGTGAGCACATGCCCCAGGAGCTCACCTCTCTCTGCATGCTGCAGCATCTCCGGACATCGCACAAAGTGGAAAATGTGTCAAGGAAGACATAGCTTTTAGCATCCCTAAAGTAATTGAAAATGTCCCTCTTGCCACCATGGGATGGTGGGATTTGAAAAGCTCGCACAATGACCAAATTTGCTGGCACTGTAGGAGACAGCAACTGCATGGTACTGTGAGCTTCATAAAGATGCTGATATTTAAGGCAAAAAATTCAAGCAAATCAAATTGGTTTAAAGTGTGCTCCTGAGTAAAGGTGAAGTGGTTTGATTCCCACTTTAGTTCTGACTCGTGAGTGCTACCACTGCATTTGGTGGGACTAGAGAGTGCTCAACTCTGTCTCTTCTGTGGGCACACAGCTACAGATTTGGATGCTGATCCAGGGCATCTTGGCTCGAGAAGACTATCCTTTATCTAGCTGACTGCCTGTGACAGCTGTGATTAGTGGCTTCGAACATGACCACCTCTCTCTCACACGTTGCTTCCTTCTGTTGTGCTTCCTTTGCTTTCACAGGCCCTTGATGCTTGGCCTCCCAAAAGTTTTAATGCCAGCTGGCTGAGCCCACCTGGTCTGTGCAAGGCCAGAAGCGAGACATGGCTGGCTTTGCGTTAAGATCTAGAAGAAGACCTTAACAACACCCACTGCTGTCCAGAGTCTGCTCAGACACCCTGTTCCAGTTTTAGCCAATAATCCCAGTATTACAGCAGACACAGGTCACAAATTTGCACGTTACTGGCTCCTACTGACTGATTCAGGTTTGCACAATGCTTTAAAGTGAAGGAAAGAAAAAACAGTTTCTGTTGGAGAAATCTTCCCTTCCCTAAGCATGGCTGATCTTTTTTGCTCTGTAAACCCATTCTCTACCCCACAGCAATGTATGGAGAACCAGATATATATCACCTTGTGGACTTGTTCTCCACCTTTTTTTTTCATGTCAAGTAATGACAAGTAATGATTTTCATGCAACTCTCTTAGAGAGCTCTGATTCCCAAGCTAAAGTCAATGTATCATATAGCTAAAATATGTCAACACATTGTAGTCCTCATAGTAAAACTGATACATCAAAGTTAAATTCTTCAAAGTGTTTTACTCATAGATCACTTTGGTAACATCAAATACAATTTAAATGCTGCTTCAGTATTGTGCACTTCTTGAGCATTTTAAATACTTGATCCAAAATGATAAATGATTCTTGTGGAAGACACATAACCTGCTGGGTATCTCAGTGAGGGAGAGGTAGGCCTGACACAAGATGCACAGATGGACACGTCCTGTTCTGGGTTGAAAACTTACATTATTAACACCTTCACCTTTCTGTTAGGGTCATATTTACACATCAGATCACCTGGAGTCTAGATGCGGTCCTTGTTCTCCTAGTGTCTGCAGAGGTTCCTATCAGGGTTTGCATGCAGAGCCCTTAGCACTAGTCTTAGTCATCAGTTCTCTTCACAGTGCAAAGGAACCGCTTTGAGTCAGGCTATTTGTAGAAATACTCCAACCGAGAAAGAAGGCAGCGGGACTTACTTTGTAACAGGAACCGAGATGGTCTGAAGGAAGAGCCATTGGCTCAAATAATGCAGGTAAAGTCTCACAAACCAAAGCAAAACTACCAGGAGCATGAGTAGCCAGAAGTCCCTTGAGCGCCAGTGTGCAGCTCCCAGCTCGGAGAAGGCTGCGTATACTACGAAATGGAAATGCTCAACAACCCGCCTGGACAGTTTCATTTTAGCAGAAGAACGGCAGCTGGAAATATATGGAAATAAAACAAAGAGTCATTTGGAAAAACATACAAGAAATATTGGTCCCTAAAACACTGTAGAGTCCTGCAGATAAACGTGATTTCGATTGACTTATGCATCTGACAGGAAAAAAAGGAACAGTATTTTCCATTGCAGTCAAGATGCTGGGTGGCTTCCTCCCAGAAATCACGCTGTTATTTTTATAAAAAAAACAACAAATCACATTTAAAACAAAGTTTTTAAAAGTATTTTGCTTTCATTTTGATTTTAATTTTCTCACAAATTGCCCTCTGAGGAACACTTTATCACTTATTTTCCTCCTGAGAAAACGGTAAAAGAACTTGTCGTATTTGTATTGAAAAAAAAAATCATTTTATTGAAAAAAAAACAAGAACAGCTTTTTGGTGTTTGGGTAAGAGAACTTCAGTCAAATATTTCAGTACACAATGTAGGCTAAAACTTCTCTTTAAACTAGTTTCAAGTGAAAGAGAAAACAGAAAGGAACTTGCACAGTGCAGTATTCTGCTACTGAGTGTGGTGTGATTTGCCCTTTAAGATAATTACTACAGTGCTTCAAAGGAGGAAAAAAAAAAAGAAATGAGATGCAGAGATGCAGCCTTGGCATTATGTTTCCAACAAACTGGAGTCTCTCAGCTGATTCAAAGCTGAAAAGACAGTAGCTTCTTTGACCTTTTGAAACTTCTAACTGCTATGCTTATTTCCACCGATTTAAATGACTAAGCAGCTGAGATGCACAACTCTAGGACTAAATATGATGTCATCATGCTCAAACTGTTATTTACATTGATTAAGGCTTCTAAAAGTTCAGAAATATAAAGATCTTTTTTGTGGAAGAAAACATGCTGGCTTTATAAAGTGTAGCGTATGACTGGAGAAGAAGCAACTTGCACTGTGTTTCATACTCTTTTAAAGCATTTTCCTGCCTACACATCTGAATTTCTTAAATAGCTGTGTGTATTTCATTCTCCAGCAGTCACAAAGAGAACTGCAAATAGCAATGGAGAAACTTAAAAGGATTCTGTATCTGGTCTAGGTTTGAATAAGCAGGAGAAATAAAAATCCCAAACTTGCCATCCATGGGTCTGGATTTTGGGACCAGCCTTGGCATCACATTATTCCTGACCCTCAGTGTTGAACAGGATGCATGTGTAGGATAAAGCATGATGTCAGCCAGCCCCTTTTCTCATGAGAAGGCTCAAGCTTTAGTCACCTGGTTGGCTGAAGAACAGGAGGAGAAGTTGGCAGGGACACACCACAAAAAACAGGTTTGGGGTCACTAAGAAGGCCTCAGGTACAAATCACCAAAACTTCTCACAGAAGTATCTGTTGGGCTGAGACAGGTGATCCTTGCAGTGACTATAGGTTGATCTATCAGGGGCTTTGAAGGGCTTTTTGAGACACTGCAGTCCACTTTGCTTATATCCTAATCAGACAAAGTCCTACTTTACAGTCTTAGAACCACATAATGAATCATCTTCCTCACAATGTAATTATTTACCCACAGCAGCCTACAGAAACATCACAACACATTTCATTAACATTATGAAATCATAGTCTAGGCTTGTGTGAGAAAGAGACAAAGAAAAATGTAAAATAAGAAATATAATTGACTGGTATTATACTACGAAAACCATAGCATTCTGGATGTTCCGAACTCTGGAGCTAGATTGTACTACATTTCCTTTTATATAAAGCAATTTTTGTCATCTTTAATCATTTCCATCAAAGTCTACTCGCTCCTTGAGGAGAGTTAATAGGGCAGGATTAGCCACAAAGTTATTTTAGTCAGACCAAATAGTTTATTGTTTTTGAAAAAAAAATGAAAAAGATAAAAAAAAAGACAATAAAGGAAAAAAGAATACTATCTTAGCTCATAATACTCTTCTCATCCTTCATCAAACAAGCAGAATTACATAGATGTCCCACCCAGCCTCACCCATGTCAGAAATCCACATCCTCTATGGTTGACTGCCAATCTTTGCCTCTGAGCTGAGGCCATGAGTAACCATATATTTTCCACAAAAATCTGGATTGAGATCACCTCCTCATTTCATGTAAGAGTCATTTAGTACTAGATTATTTGGGCTCAGTTTACTAAATGAAGCTACGTCCAAACAAGCAACACCAGGGTGAAATATTCAATGTACAACCCGTAAAGTATTTCAAGACATAAATCCTTCCTCTAAATGAACACTCATATTGAGAAGGAGAAACACGGCTCAGAGTGCTGAAAATACTAAGTCCTCTTTCATTCACAGGTGTCCTGGAGCACCAGAAACACTGAGAAATGTTAGTGACCAAAACGCTGGGTTGGGAAGGTGAGGTAACTTCTTCCTTACGGAGTCAGGATTCTGGTGATGCAATCAGCACTTTCACAGGAGTTTCATAAATACATTTACTCTAGCTGTGTAACTCATTGTGTGGAGCTGCTTGCATAAGCATCATGAGCACACAATACAAAGTGCGGCTCTCAAACTTCCCTAAGATTTAGGCAGCAATGAAAATAATCAACCTGTGCCTTCATTGCTCCATTCCTCCCTACTCTACTCCAAGAGGTCAACATAGAGCTAATACCTCCACCTGTGAGCTATCAAGAAAGTTGCTCTTTTTTAGGACACGAAGATGACAAAAAGCACAACAGAGGTCTGTGTGTTGTCATCCCTGCTGAGACACTGGCTCTCAGCCATGGGAATCCACTTACTCAACAAACTTCCAAAGTAAAGTAGAGAAATTCAGAGCACGTTCGCTGTTATCAAACCCTAGATATTTTCCACTAGCAATGACCCCAGTTAAATCAGCAGGGCAACACCTGTGATCTCTTTGCTTTGGTGCATCTTTCCCTGAAAAAGCAATAGCAACCCAGAAACTCCACAGAAAGCGAAGTTTGTTAGAAGTCAAAGAAATCAAGAAAAATATATCCATTAGGTAAAACCAAACATCATCCATTTTGACTTCTGAAAAACCATTTTTTCTTTAAAAGACTGAATGATTTTCCTCACACACCTTGACCATCGTTTCCAGCTATTAAATGGAAATTAAAGTGCCCCTAACTGTTTAACTTTTCAGACAGTCCAAATTCTGAGTGTTACTTCTGTGCTAGCTTGTGCTTCCCTATGACTGTGTAACACCTTGACATGAACATCATCAACCAGTGGTAGAAAACGGTGGCAAATATATCTAGTGACTCAGTGAAGGTCCCAACCCACAACTGGAATATCTTCATTTACTTTAAAACAAATTCAGTGGGCCCCAACTTACTACCTGGAAGTTAGAGCAAACTCTTCCTGAGTCCTCATTAATAAGTCTGTTTCCTGGCTGTCACTTCAAAACACTTGGTTTATATGATATCTCTTACTGACTTCTTTGAAGAATGAAGAAAGGAGGAGGCAGAAACACAAAATGAAATACACTGAACAAGTGGAAACAGCCCCTTTAAATATTTTTAGCTGGTGTTACTAGTGAAAGCTCGTGGGTGGAGTGACAGTGCTGGCAGATATAGTTTTCAGAAGAGATTTATATAAAGTTGCTCTAGGGCAAAGAGCATGAGTATTACCTTTCAAAAACAAATCAACCCCTCCACCCACAGAAAGCCCAAATCTCAACCCTTGGGTGAAAACTATATAAAGCTCCAAATGAGAAGCCACTTGAGCAATGGATTTATCCATGATTCCTTGGATTACTGGTAAGTAATTTGGCTGAATGTTTCTGTTCTAGGGCATTAGTTTTGCATTTTTCTTTGCAAAATGCTGCAGTAACAAATAGCAGAGACCGAATTACCATAAAAGCAGGTCAATTATTTCAATGGAAATTGTTCAGAAGGAAAGAAACGATGCACAGATTCTCTTAAGCTACACTTGATGATGATGACAGAAAAGTAATGGCTGATAGAAGGCAGTGTGTACTGTTGGGTGACAGCTTTGCTGCTGACAAACTACGGTGAACATTTGTATAATGCACTCCAAGACTGGCACTTACAGCTGATGGTGGGGGCAGATTCTCAGCCGATGCAACCTTGCTTGTTCCAGAGCTACACTGCTGTATACTAGCTGAGGCATTCAGGATCTAGTTCTGAATGTATCTATTATTTACATTGCATAAAATAAGGCAAAATAAATGTTTTATGTTACCCATACAACCAGAGAAGACTTAAAGAGCAAATGCAGACGTGAATGACTTTATGCAAATTGCTTTCAGGGAATCACAGTACTTGCAGCCCAAGAATCTGTAAAATGTATTTACTCAGTTCACAAATAAAAAAGACCCCTCCCCATCATCACCATAAATGGTAGGTATTTAAACTTCACCATAAAGTCCTTTATGGCTTATCAACAGTAACACAGACGGAGGAAAGGCTGCCCAGTGTTACTACAGTGAAATACTATCACTTTCAGTGGAAAAGCGCACCTATTTCTGAAGGCACAGCTAAAAATAATACGCTAACACATGTAGCCCTTAAAATGGAAACCAGTTAACAGCACCACTGATGAAGCACGAGGCAGAATGGAATCTAGTTCATTCCACTGTGCACAACAAACATATATATAAAACATACAATTTTATTATCATTAGAGGGATTTTATTATTATTCCTTCTGCATAATATTTTTCCTTTATAGATCTCATATTGCATTACAAAGAGACTGTCTTTATCTCGGGTTGTATGGTGATGATACAAATGAATTTCCCCAATAAGCCAATGGCAGAGCTGTGAGCTGAGCTCTGCTGAGTTACAGTCCATTATTCTATCCACTGGATTCCTAATAAAATATTACTTTTTTGTTTATTTGTATGCAAAATGAATATAACCAGGGAGAACATTTGCTAAGGATGAAGATGCTGCTTTTCCCCATCTCTTTCTAGGACACACCCATGCTTCATATTCTTCAGTCTGCAAGCACCAAAAAAGCTGGTACCACAAAGAGTTACAGGGGCTATCTGTTATAAGAGAGGTGGCAAAAAACCTGAGTGGACATTGGGTAATTCC